GCATCTTAAACAGCCCAAGTTTCAAAATTTTCTGGGGGAGAAAGCCCCGGACCCCCGTTAAAATAAAAGATTCAACATGCAGGGCTAAAAAAGCCACGGATCATTTCATTTGCACTACTAGCGACGCCCCCCTGGACATGCATACACGACGCAAGGGCGCCCGCGCTACAAAACTAACATTTTTATTTAAAACATTGTCTTACCTGCAAAGCGACGCGCGAGTATCATCCCGCTGTCTATTCTTTTTCCTTTGTTCGCCCCCAACTCTTGGTGCCTTTCCGAGGCCATGTCTGAGGTCGGTGTCTGCCAAATTTGACATTGATTGAGGCATAATCGAACAGACCACTGGGAGGTGGGGAAGGGGGGGGGGGCACCAGAGGGAGACGAAAAATGAGATTCACCTTTTTCTCGACTAATTTGGTCTAGGCCTATATTACTTTTGTATTGCTTTTGTATATTAACATGCTTTAGACATATTTTATTTGTTATTTATACTAGTAGCCTATTGTGATGATTTTTCACGACCCAGATTTTTTGGTGCCCCCCCCCAAGCACTTGGTGCCCTACGCGCAGCGCGTGATGTGCGTGTGCGGAGCGCCGGCCCTGTGTCCATGTACTGAACTCTTGTTATTTAACTATGCCAAAATAAATTCAATTTCACATTCTAGGGCACCTTTAAAGCCACAAGTTTGTTTGAGTGGCAACAATGGCTCAACCAAAAGTGTGAGTGAGTTTGAGACGGGACTATGTGCTTGATGAACAATGGCTAACAGGGTAGTGGAAACTTGTTTGAAAACTAGTAGAACCACACTTGTGTATAAATAAGCTACAGCCGTGTTGAAAGCGGTTCATCCAATCGTATTTTAGAGCCAGCTATGCACTTAAAGGTCCAAGAATGAAGATAAAGGAGCTTTTATTTGACATATTCCCAAGTGTAGTGAGACAGGAAGGTCCTGTCATCATCACTCGCATTGATTGCTGTGAAGACCAAGGTCTTCTCAAAACCTGTGAATGACACTTTCATCTCTTTTACTTTCTTTTTCTCACATATTTGCTCTGTCTGTCTCTGTCTCTGTCTCTCTTTTTCTCACACCAGCAGGAAGTCCGATCATTCTCACTGTTTTTTCTGTAAAATTTGATATGCTAACTCTATTTTCTAATCTATGCATGTTAGTTCCTGTGTGATAGAGAGTTGTGTAACTCATTGTCCGGAGAATGTTTATTTACATGTTCCTCCTTTGCTGTCTGTGATTTCTGGTTCAGAGATCATAGAGCGTGTGGTGGAGGGCCGGTGGCCGTACCTGCGTCCACTGCTGTGTCCTCAGAGCCACAGCGATGAGATAGGAGAGCTGATGCAGCGCTGCTGGTCAGAAGATGTCAATGAGAGGCCAGATTTCAGCCAGATTAAAGTACTGCTCCGCAAGAATAACCGGTACCTGAAACACAAATCATCTCATAAACAAGTGACTTTACAAATTGACCAAATAGCACTGCTTCTTTTTTTCAACATCAAGATTTTTGGTTGAAATTTGTATGCATAATGTAAGGTATATTTTCAGAACTGGTCGAATTCCTCTCTCTCTCTCTCTCTCTTTTTTGTTTTTGAAATTGAGCAAAACAAAAAAGAGAGACAGCACACGACAAGTGCACATTCCTGTCCGTGTTAGCTGCGGCCGTTCCCCTGCGTGCTTCAGTACCAAGGAGAGCAGTCCCTAAAAGAGCTTACATGGGTAGAGCGCATCTTTTTAAAGATGTCACTCTACCTGTGTTTCTGGATGCGGTCGTTACCTGCGATCACGGGAAGGTCACAAGTGCTGTATCGCGTGTCTGGGCATTGAACACGCTGAGGCAGCGTTCGTGGATGAGTCATGTACCCATTGTGGGAAGATGACCATCTCAGAGCTACGGTCGAGACTCTTGTTCCTGCAAAGGGGCGGACAAAGGTGATGCCCGGTGGGTGGGTCGTGCGATGTCCACTATGGTGGTCCAGGAACGCCATCTCTGGCTGTGTCTGGCTGACATGAGGGAGACCGACAAAGTCAGGTTCCTTAACTCCCCCATGTCCCAGACCGGCCTCTTCGACGACGCGTTCAAGAACTTCACCCAGCAGTTCTCGGCTGTACAATAGCAGACTGAGGCGATTAAACACATCCTGCTGCGGCGGTCAGCTGCTGCCTCCACACCATCGCCTGCGGCCCCTCAGTCTGCTCGTTGCCCAGCACACTCAGACCCCGCCATGGGCCGCCTCCCAGAGAGAGCCTCCTGAGCCACGTCCTTGTGTTCCACCTCGCTGCCCCACTGCGGGTACGCCTACGGTCCATTTGGTCCCGCTTGTATGGTCTCTGCAAGCCTGGCTAGAGCTCCCCAGTCCGTCTCGCTCGCTCATTCGGACCATCAGGCTCGGCTATGCAATTCAGTTTGCCCGGTGTCCCCCCAAGTTTCGGGCCATCCACTCCACTACAGTGAGAGCAGCCATTGCCTATGTCTTGCAAGCAGAGATCGCAGTCCTACTGGCGAAGGACACGATAGAGCCAGTCCCTCCAGCCGATATGAGGTCAGGGTACTACAGTCCCTACTTCATTGTACCCAAGAAAGGCGGTGGGTTACGACCGATTCTCTACAAGCCACCATTCAAAATGCTCACACAGAATCGCATTTTCGAATGCGTCCGTCCCCGAGGTTGGTTTGCAGCGATCGACCTGAAAGATGCGTACTTTTATGTTTTGATTCTTCCTTGACACAGGCCGTTTCTGCACTTTGCGTTCGAGGGTCGAGCATATCAGTACAAGGTCCTGCCCTTCGGCCTGTCCCTGTCTCCCCGTGTCTTCACGAAAGTCACATGAGAGAACAGGGCATTCGCATCCTCAACTATCTCGATGACTGGCTCATACTCGCACACTCTCGAGATCAGTTATGCGAACACAAGGACCTCGTGCTCAGGCACCTCAGCCAGTTGGGTCTTCAGGTCAACTGGGAAAAGAGCAAACTCTCCCCCGTGCAGAGGATCTCTTTTCTCTGTTCCTCACAGAGGAATGCGCTCAGTCGGTGCTGAACTGCTTAAACACGTTCAAAGGCAGGATGGCGGTCCCACTGAATTTTTTTCAGAGGCTCCTGGGGCATATAGCAGCGGCAGCTGCGGTAAAACCGCTCAGGCTGCTACAGCGCTGGTTTCACGGCCGAGTCCCGAAATGGGCGTGGCATCACGGCACTCACCGTGTGATAATCCCATTGGCATGCCACCAGACCTTCAGCCCGTGGTCAGACCCCTCATTCCTGTGGGCAGGAGTGCCCTTGGAACAGATGTCCAGAGTTGCTGTGGTGTTCACAGATGCCTCTACCACCGGCTGGGGTGCCACTTACAACGGGCATGCAGTGTCAGAGGTGTGGACGGGCCCCCAACTGCATTTGCACATCAACTGCCCCGAGTTGCTTGCAGTACGTCTCGCACTGAGCCGCTTAAAGAGGCCGCTACAGGGCAGGGACATGCTGGTCTGTTCGGACAACACTGTGACCATTGCGTATATCAACCGACAAGGTGGTCTATGCTCCCGTCCCATGTCGCAACTCGCCCGCCATCTCCTCCTCTGGAGTCAGAAGCATCTGAGGTCGCTTCGAGCCATGTATGTCTCCTGTGTGCTCAACCATGTGGCCGACGAGCTATCACGAGCTGTGCTCCCGGGAGAATGGCGACTCCACCCCCAGGCAGTTCAGCTGATCTGGAGAGAGTTCGGGGAGGCTCAGGTAGACCTGTTTGCCTCCTCAGAGACCTCCAACTGCCAGCTGTTGTTTTACTCCCTGTCCCGAGGGAACACTCAGCACGGACGCACTGGCAAACAGCTGGCCCCGGGGCCTCCGCAAATATGCGTTTCCCCCAGTAAGCCTACTTGCATAGATCCTGTGGAAAGTCAGGGAGGACGAGGAGCAGGTCCTTCTGGTGGCTCCCTATTGCCCCACCTGGACCTGGTTCCCAGAACTCATGCTCCTCGTGACAGTACCTCCCTGGCCCATTCCTCTGAGGAAGGACCTTCTGACTCAGAGACGGGGCACCCTATGGCACCCGGGTCCGGACCTCTGGAAACTCCATGTGTGGTCCCTGGATGGGACGTGGAGGTTCTAGGTGACTTACCCCCAGAGGTACTTAACACCATCACCTCAGTGCGAGCGCCATCTACGAGACGTGCGTACAAGTGGAACCTGTTCGTCGAGTGGTGTTCTTCTCGCCGAGAGGACCCCCGAAGATGTTCGATAGGGTCTGTGCTTTCCTTCTTGCAACAAGGGTTGGAGCGAAGGCTTTCTCCCTCCACCCTCAAAGTACATGCTGCCGCTATTTCAGCATATCACGACAACATGGCAAAACAGTAGGAAAGAACGACCTGGTCGTCAGGTTCCTTAGGGGGGCAAGATGGTTAAATCCTCCTCGACCCTCCATACCCTTGGGACCTTTCCCTGGTGCTTCGAGCAGTCCAGGATGCTCCCTTTGAGCCTCTGCAATCAGCAGACTTAAAGCTTCTCTCCATGAAGTCTTTGCTGCTGGTTGCACTGGCCTCTATCAAGAGGGTAGGAGACCGGCAGGCATTTTCAGTCAACGAATCGTGCCTAGAGTTCGGGCCGGGTGACAACCATGTTGTACTGAGACCCCGGCCTGTCTATGTGCCCAAGGTTACTACCACTACCATCAGGGACCAGGTGGTGAACCTCCAAGCGCTGCCCCTGGAGGAGGCAGACCCAGCCCTGGCTTTGCTCTGTCCTGTCCGCGCTCTGCGACTGTACGTAGACAGAACTCAAAGTCTCAGGACCTCAGACCAGCTCTTTGTCTGTTACGGAAGCCAGCAGAAGGGAAAGGCTGTCTCCAAGCAGAGGATGGTCCACTGGATAGTGGATGCCATCGCCTTGGCTTACCAAGCACAAGGCGTGCCCTGCCCTCTCAGGTTGCATGCTCACTCTACGAGAAGCGTTGCATCCTCCTGGGCACTGGCACGTGGCTCCTGGCTAACAGATATCTGTAGAGCTGCGGGCTGGGAGACACCTAACACGTTTGCTAGATATTATAGCCTACGTGTAGAGCCGGTCTCCTCCCGTGTTCTCACCCTAAACGGGCAGAAGCACTAAAAGGCCCGGCTCTGTCGGCTTGCTACACCCTACTGTGCACCCTTATTACTCCAGTGTGAAAAACCTGTTGAGTCCTCCAACACCCTCGGCCCGGATGTGGCGGAGCATCCGGCTCCAGGCCTTTATTAGTTGAATCCTTGAAAACCGGGTCTAGGCTGGGTCCCATATGTGTGACCCTGCGGGGATCCCATATGTGTATTCTGCCACGGCTGTTCCTCAACAGAAGCCTGGGTCTTTCCCTTGGGCTAAAGTCACCCAGTATTTCATATGCAGTACAACCTTCGGGTTAGTCCATATGTATATCTCCCCATAACTCCTTCGGGGAAGAAGATGGGTTTCGCAGTGTTCTCCTTCCTAACAGAAAGGGCACGCTTTCCCAGTGTTATCCAATAATCTCACTGTATGGGTTATCCCGGAACAACAGTGACAGATACACTCTGTGTAAGCCCTCTCCTATTGTCCTTCCAGGCAAGAAGGGGAAAGCGGCTTGCACGGGGCGCTGGATGGGGTCAGCAGCTGTGGCGCTTTGGTAGGGATTCCTATTCGTCGATCACGACGTACGTCGAGAGTAACCAACTGATAGGGAACATCTCGGTTATGTATGGTAACCCTCGTTCCCTGAAGGAGGGAACGGAGACGTATGTCCCGTCTCCACATCTACTGCGGCCTGCCAGGGCAGCCAGCTCATCGGCTCGGCTCCTCAGCAAAAAGCTGAAGTGCAATCGCACATGCTGCTCGTTATATACCCGCACTGTGTGGCCGAGCAGCTGTTGCAAATGATTGCACGCCAATGTGCATTGGCTCGGTCAGTTTCACTCGAAGTAGATTGGCCTCTCTAGCAAGATTCCTATTCGTCGGTCACTCACGATGTACGCCTCCGTTCCCTACTTCAGGGAACGAGGGTTACCATACGTAACTGAGACGTTCATCTACATAAACTCTCATCGGTAGTCAATCAAATAAAAATATTTAATATTTCTTAATAATATGTTTATTAATTAATATACTAATCATTATATATTAAATCAACGTTGTGTATTATGGGTGTGAATTCCACAAAATTATTTATTTTGTGGAAATCTGCATGCACTGCCCATGCTGCAGTGATCAGACACACATTCACATCTCGTCTCTGCCTCACCTTCTCTGTTTTGGCCTCAGTGGATATGGTTCCAACATCCTGGATAACCTCCTGTCCCGTATGGAGCAGTATGCCAATAACCTGGAGGAGTTGGTGGAGGAGAGGACGCAGGCGTACCATGAGGAGAAACGTAAAGCTGAAACTCTGCTCTATCAGATCCTCCCACAGTGAGTCCCACACATACAGTATCTTTCTTATTTATAAATTATTTTTATTCCTGTTTATTTCTGCTTTTTGTTTTGGAAGCACTACCAACACCTTAATAATGATTTGTTCAAACCAATTTGCAAAGAGTTTGTAAATCACACAACTAAAAATGTAAGATCAGTATGATTTTGTAGGGGTAATTTATGCTTTTATGCATCAAGGATGGATTTAATTAATCAAAAATTGCATTAAAGGCATTTATAATGCGACAAAAGATGTCTGTTTCAAATAAATACTGTTCTTTTGAACTTTCTATTCATCAAAAAATCCTGAAAAATATGTTGCATGGTTTCTACAAAAACATTAAGGCAGCACAACTGTTTTCAACATTGATAATAATAAGAAATGTTTCTTACGCAGCAAATCAGCATATTAGAATGATTTCTCAAGGATCATGTGACACTGAAGACTGGACTAATGATGCTGAAAATTCACATCACTAAAATGCACTAAAATATTCACAAAAATATTTTAAAATAAAAAATTTAAATATATTGAAATAGAAAAGTGTTTATAAATTGTAATAATATTTCCCATTTTTGATCATACAAATCCAGCCTCTGTGAGCATAAGAGACTTCTTTAAAAAAAAAAAACGACCTATTTACCCGCCCAATACTTTTGATCGGTGGTGTTTGTAAAAAACTAAAATGTGAGATGTGTAATTCCAATGCAACATTTATTCACAAAAAAAAATATTTTGAACCGGTTCTTTTAAATGATTCATACAAAGTGATGTGCACAGATTTTATACACCATAAAAAAAGAGCACAAGCAACTGTAGTGGGGTCTAAAAGTCTGAATCCACAAGGCATCTTTTAGCTTTTTTGTCCATTGAAATGCTTTTCTCACTGGCATGAGGCCGTGTCTCATTGTTTGTGTGTGTTTTTGTTTCAGCTCAGTGGCTGAGCAGCTGAAGCGAGGTGAGATGGTGCAGGCAGAAGCCTTTGACTCGGTCACCATTTATTTCAGTGACATTGTGGGCTTCACCGCATTATCAGCTGAGAGCACACCAATGCAGGTAAGAAAACCTCAAGGAGATGCACGGAAATAATTAAATGCTAATTTTGTAGTTTACTGCGACAATCATGAGTACAGTACTGAGTTAAAACAGATTATCTATTTGTCGATTTGTACATGCCACAGGTTGTGACGGTGCTGAATGATCTCTACACTTGTTTTGATGCAATCATCGACAATTTTGATGTGTACAAGGTAATTCCAGACAGTCATTACATTCAGCATTTGTTCAACAACATGAGCGCTTGATTAGTTTAAGTGGCTGAGATGCATCTCACAATCAGTGAGCCGATTACAGAAATAATATACTTTAAAGGAATATACTTAAAGTTGCGACCGACTTTACTTCAGTATTGTGATGTATTTTCTGAGTGAAAATAGAGGGTGTGGCTTGTTTTTTTCCACTGGGAATTGATTGAATCTAGAAAAGTAGGTTCCATTCACCTCGATGTCAAAGCAGACTGACATTTGAAGGTGATGTTCTACCAAAGACGTCATCAGAGAACGAAGGCCATATTGATTAAAGATTACAAAGAGTGTGCGTGTGCGTGTGCGTGTGCGTGTGCGTGTGTGTGTGTGTGTGTGTGTGTGTGTGTGTGTGTGTGTGTGTGTGTGTGTGTGTGTGTGTGTGTGTGTGTGTGTGTGTGTGTGAGAGAGTGAGTGAGTTAACTTGCACGGATGTTTGTTTACCACAAGACTAGTAATGTGCACTCACAAAATAAATAGCATTTTAATCAAATGTTTCATTGTTAAGTCCAATCTGAATAATGTTTTCAGGCACTTTATTACATGTTAGTTGCAATTAAATAAAAATGTTTTTGACCCGCTAAAGTAGGACTTGAGTACATCTTTATATGTAATTTCATAATTCTATTATCTTAGAAATATGGTTAAAGTTTACCATTGAATGTACTGACAAACATTTTTAAGTATACTATAAACATACTTTAATTTCATTTATTGAAATTTGAATGTAAATAAATGAGTAATTACATATCAGTAATTACATTTATTATGATAAAATTGTAATTTAGTACATTTAAAATATATTAACTTTAAATGTAACACTGAATTACACACTTACTTTATAAGCGCTTTATGTTAGTCAACACATCAAAATAAGTGTACTTCTTTAAAGGGTTAACTAACCCTAAACCAAACCCATATCCCATTATATAGTCCATGTTATAAGTACAAATTGTTTATTAATATTACTCCGTTTTTATTTGTATAATTACAGTGTAAAAATGGCACCTTAAAATAAAGTGTATTGAAATGTAAAATCTGGTAACACTTCATTTTAAAGTGCCCTTGTTACACATTACATGTCGTTACTATAGTAATTACTACAAATTGTGTATAATTACATGCAACTAACCCTAAACCTAACCCTATAGTAAGTACATGTAGTTAATTATTATTACTTAGTACTTAAATGCATATTTAAACTGTAACACAGACACCGTAAAATAGTGAGTGACATTTTATTTTACAGTGTCCTTGTTACGTTACATCTATAGTCTCCATAGTAATTACTATAATATCTGCATAATTACATGCAACTAACCCTAACCCAAACCTAATCCTAACCCTATAGTAAGTGCATGTAGCTCATTAATTTTACTCAGTACTTAAATGTATAATTATTACACTGTAACAAGGACACCTTAAAATAAAGTGTAACCAAAAATCCTAATTATGTTAAAAACAAAGTCATGAAATACTCTATTTAAGTACACATACAAGGCCTTTAATTTCATTAATATTATAATATCTGCTAGTATAGATTTTTTAAATATACTTTTAAGATTTGAAATACACTACAAGTGCACATTCAGTAGGATCATGCTCTTCTTATTTACAAGGGTAATGATGTGTTTTTGTGTGGCGCCCCCAGGTGGAGACCATCGGCGATGCGTACATGGTGGTGTCGGGACTTCCCATGAGGAACGGGAAACTGCATGCACGCGAGATTGCCCGCATGTCTCTGGCTCTGCTGGAGGCCGTTCACTCCTTTCGAATCCGTCACCGACCCAGCCAGCAGCTCCGCCTACGCATCGGCATCCACAGCGGTGAGGATCATGGGTCATGAAAGTGTTTAATAGAGTACAAGTAGAGCACAGAGCAGTCTGCCCTCACTGGGACGTATCTGTTTGTTCATGACTGACTGTAATGGAGAGGTTTGACTGGCGGTAATATGTTTGAGTGTGTGTTTTCATGTGTCCAGGTCCTGTGTGTGCAGGGGTGGTTGGTTTGAAGATGCCTCGGTATTGTTTGTTTGGCGATACAGTCAACACATCTTCACGTATGGAATCCAATGGAGAAGGTGAGGTGCCTCCAGACTTTTAAAGGGGTCATATTCTACACTTGTTGCACTTATTTTTCCCTGAAGTCCATTTATTATGTTAGTGAAGGTTTTTTTCACTGCAGTATTTGTAATTTACACTTCTGTTAAAAGTTGGGGGTCGTTTCGTTTTTTTTTTTTAAATATATATATATATATATATATATATATATATATATATATATATATATATATTTGAAAGAAGTATCTTATGCTCACAAAGACTGCATTATTTGTACAGTAAAAAACAGTAATACGTTGAAATATTGTTACAATTTAAAATAACTTTTCTATTATATATTAAATCTATTATATTTTAAGATGTATATTCCTATGATGCAAACCTGAATTTTTAGCATCATTACTCTTCAGTGTCACATGATTCTTCAGAGATCATTCTTAAATGCTGATTTTTCTTATTATTGTCAATGTTGTAAACCGTTGAGCTGCTTAATATTTTTGTGGAAACAGCAATACATTTTAGCAGTCTTTGATGAGGTTCAAAAGAATAAAAATCTTTTGTAACATTATTAATGTTTTTACTGTCACTTTTGTTCAATTTAATGCATCCTTGATGAATAAAAGTAGTAATGTCTTTTAAAAAAATAAATAAAATGTTTCTGACCCTAAACTTTTGAACAGTAGTGTGGTTAAAAATTATCATTTCTGACGGATGGAATGGAACCCATTTTTTACTACAGCATCTTTAAAAATGATATATATAAATGATCTCTGTAATGATTGGTTAACCTCTTTGAATGTGAAACCCGGTTCTATTCGTTTATTCAATTGAACTGATTAGGGATTTGTAAATCACTTTACAGAGTAAAACTGTGCAGTGGGGAGCCATAATGATCATATAATATACAAAAATATAGTAATAAGTAACAGTATTATCCTGGGAAGAGCAATGACAATTTGAAAACTCATTCATCAAGTGGATGATGAATCCTTAAATAGCTGTTAATATTTACATATGTTTGGTCATATTGGTCATTTGGTTTCGGTCATTATTCAGCAAGGATCATTAAATTGATAAATTGACATTAAAAACATTTATTGTTTTTACTTATTTATTGTATACTTCTGATGTCAGACTCATTTTTGCTTTTTAATTGATATAAATTACAATAAATTATAAACTGCATTTCTTTTGCTTGCAACTAAACAATATAATGAACCTTAGTTACAGTTATTAATTTGATAAAAAAAAAAAAAAAATAGTGTGTTATTTTTTTTTTTACTAATCTACTGTGTACTGATACATCTTCCATCAGCCCTGAAGATCCATGTGTCAGAAGCCACACGGGCCATACTGGAGGAATTCAACTGCTTCCAGCTGGAGCTCAGAGGGGATGTTGAGATGAAGGGAAAGGGACGGATGAGGACGTACTGGCTGCTAGGAGAGGTCGACTCCAACAATGCCTAAAAACTGACTGACTGACAGAAAAAGAGCTACAAAACAAACACATCTAAACAAATACTGGGACAGTGTGGAACACTGCAGCCCTTCACTGGGACGAAAGGACGAAAGACTAGACTCAGAGAGTAATGTTTCAAAACTTTCATCTCCCAAAGTTTCATGTTATTGCTTCATGGGAATCTCGCTATGACTGTTTTTGCCAAAGTAAACTCAAAAAGAAAAAAACAATACTTGAGCAGAATGGTTTAGACAAATGGATGATGACATGACACACCATCAGATTGGTGACTGTTGAGCTGAATGTTTAAGCACAGGACCTTCTGCTGGTGTGATATTATACCCGTCCGGGTCTTGTAGGAGTTTTGAATATTGTTTTGTCGTGATAGGTCTTTGTCCAGATTTTTTAAAGCAGTCATCAGGAGTTGGTTGGGTCTTTTTGTTGTCGTTCATGTTTTTGGTCATACAAAGACACAGTGCTGTAGTCCATGTATTATTATTTTTTTATCCATTTGAAATGTTCTCGATTCCTCCTCTGGGATGCAGTGATTCAGAGTTCAGTTCAAAACTCTTCCATCGGTTTGAACCACAGATTAAAGTTACGCACAAAAGAGAAATAATAATAAATGTCAAGTATAATTAAGAAAGCATAGAAATGTTCAATGATGGATTTTGTTCTCAGAGCTCAAGACCATTTCCCTGCAGAAATCCACAAATATTGGGGTAGGTTTACACGACAACGATGCTCTAAAAACAGAGAGGTTTTTCCTTTGTGTTTTTTGCATGCAGACAACAACGTTATCAAAATGATTCACGTTCACGCGGATCTGTGAAAATGACTAAAAACGCTGTATTATTTGGCAGTAGTTGGCGATCTCACTTTGTAAAGAAACACTACGCACCTATAGACTGAACACGTAGAACGCATGTAGGCCTACATGACGTCACCGTTCCCACAAATTTGTGCTTCTGTAGTTTACACTGAGACAATAACGTGTAAATGAACGGCCAAAACGCATACAAAAAAAACCGGACCCTTGATGTTGCAATAGTGTTTCAGCTAAAACTAGCCCACGGATGTTCTTGTTCATTTAATGCAGGATTTACTTTCCCCTCAAAGTCAAGAAATGCCCACTTTTAACTTCCGTAAAGTGACATTTCCAAATGGAACTTGATTTTATCCATCAAGATCAAATTTGATCACTGATGTTATTGGTTAATATTATTTTTGCTGCATTTATGAAATCAGAGATTCCACTCTGATTCATTCATGTGCTTGGACTCAAAAAATTGGGGTCAGTAAGATTTTTTTTTTTTTTTTAAGAAATTGATACTTTTATTCAGCAAGGATGCATTAAAATGATCAAAGTAACAGTAAAGACATTTTATCTTTTTTAATGTTACAAAATATATCTATTTCAAATAATTCTTCATCAGGAAGTCTTTTGTAAAAATGAATCACGGTTTCAACAAAAATATTAAGTAGAATCAATATTGATAATAATAAGAAATGTTTCTTGAGCAAGAAATTAGCATATTAGAATTTCTGAAGGATCATGTGAGACTGAAGACTGGAGTAATCACTGCTGAAAATTCAGCTTCACAGGAATAAATTAAATTTGTATTACATTCATGTAAAGATACTTCACAATATTACTATTTTTACTGTATTTTTGATCAAATAAATGCTGCCTTGTTGAGCATAAGGGACTAAATCTTACTAGCCCCAAACCTTTGAACAGTAGATTATGGCAAAATATGTAATTCTGTCACCTCTGTATTCTCTTGCTAAATATTTAAGAACAAAGAAAGTATGTGACACACAGCTTTAATAAAACAAGACCAATAATGATGCAGACTAGATATTTGAAATATGTACTTCCATTAAGTCGAAGCTGCTGCCATTTTAATTGTTTTACCCAAAATTCCATGTTTCTAACTTGCAATTATGCGAACAACAAAGATGTGAACAGTTTTCAGAATCTGGAAACTTATGGTGATTCAACTACATATTGTTACATTTTAATGGATTATGAAAACATCTCTTCAGAATGTGATGAATGCGGATTAGAGCAGGAGAAGTTGTATGATATAAATAAGTACATTTTGACTTGTGTTTTCAATAAGCATAATATCTATGTTAGGTTCAGAGCTTGAACCATGTACACATCATACACCTTTTAATATTTATCAGCTCAAATTGTTTTGGAGATCTGGGCAGGTCTTTCAAATCTTCATCCTCATTAAAATGCACACAGTATTTTCTGATAAAGTATGAACTTTTCCAGCCAACATCTTCCTGCTGTGCACGACAAAATCTCAGCTATGCCAATTTCTATCCAATGAAGCAAATGTCAAGTTTAAAATCAAGTTGAATCACACATTTCCTCCCCATTCTGAAAACGTTCACAGATTCTGGTGTTTTATAAAGTGTAAATTGTGCAGCGCTGCTCACCTCCCTGTGTCTATAAGCTGAGATAATGAGGATTTGGACAGAAACTTTTCCTGTTGCGATGACACCTTCTGAGCCATCAAATCTCACTGCGGGTCAGAGTCATCTGTTAAATTTCGGTACAATCCGAAATCTTTGATCCATTCCCTGTGTCGATGACTGCATACATTACATCCTGAGAGGAAACAGTCCAACGATTCTCTAATGGCATTAAAAGCTTCGGTAATAAATAAACATGAATGTCTGTGCTAGATGTAAATAAATGCGGTGTTTTCTCACATCACTTATCTTCTGCTGTGACAACTCTCAGTCAAACTGTAGCAATGCACCATGTGGACATGATGGAGGACGTCCTGTGTCATGAGATCCTGATTGATAATGTCAGATGTACAGTGTTTAAGATGCAGCTCTTCTTGCTTTCCTGTTCGGAGGGCATGAATAATGATTGTAATGTTTTATCTGTCTTCTATGTGTGGTTTGGATAGCTGGGTCTGTGGGTGTCATATTGGTATATTTACTACAAAGTCTTCAAGTGAAGTTCAAATTGATTATTGTGTTTTTTTGGTTATGTTCGGGGGAGGTGGATTGTGTAAAATAAACACATTAAAAACACTGAGCCTTTACAAATTCTTGTGCATTTAATGGTGTAATGTGGTATTTGTCACAAAGTCAAGCTTTTAAAGAATAATGCATCTAAGAGACAAGTGCTGTTATATAAGCACTATTCAAGTTTGGCATATATAGAGACCATTTATACTGGGGAAAATTGTTATGCGTGTTATTTTCTGTTTGCAAAAATCTTTACCTTTTCCATTTTTACAGTATAAAATGCATCTTAGTTTAATGTTTAACCCTCTGGGGTTGTTCGTTTAACAGTCACACTTGGGGTGTTCGGGTCCAAATGGACCCAAAGGGCAGGATTCATATTTTTTTTAAAAAAATCTTCTTTTTTTTCTTTTTCTTTTTTTTTATAATATTTTTTCTTTTCTTTTTTGGTGTTTTGAGATAATTTCAAAAATAAAAATGATTTATAATTAATATTAATGCAATAATTATGACCCATTTTTTCCCCATTGAATATAATAGCATTTTTTTTTTTTTTTTTTTTTATGAAAGCTGTATTTCATTTTAGAGTCAAGCCTAGGCCTCATGAAAGCAATTTTTGAAATGAGATGGATGTCATCTGGTGGACAAACTGAGCATTTTAAAAATTCAAAACCCATATGTAATCTGAATTTATTAGTGTGTATGTGTATAAAAGTGTGTTTGTGTGTGTGTGTGTGTGTGTGTGTGGATGTGTCTGTTTTGCACTCTTGATGTTTTATAGATTCACCCCTTCACTGTTGTGTGCTTTTTTTCTGGATCGTGGCTGATTTGTAGATTGTACGCACAAAAAAACTCTGTATTTTCACATTTTTGCCAATTTCCCATTCATTTCCTATGTGGGTCCATTTGGACCCGAAGGTCCTGAGTGTGACTATTTTTTTTACAACCACTTAGACTATTCAAATCCTGTCCCCAATTTTTTGGGCTGTTCATATACCAAGTACCAACAAAGTCACCAAATTTCGGACCATTCCGATAAAGCTTTGATTTAAAAAAAATAAATATTTAAATGCTTCGGGTCCATTTGGGCCGAACAACCCCAGAGGGTTAAATATTTCTGAAAAGCCATTCATGTACAATATTTTAAAGCTAGATATGTTAAGATAGCCTTTTTAACTTCATTTCATTTATCAAACAAAGGTATACTTCTCGAGTCAGTGTCAATAAATATCAGGTTTCCACTGTGACAACTTATCCCAAATACTCAAACAATATGCCCCGTTATAAGCTCAATGTGTTAAATGAGCTATATTTTTTCTAGTCGAAAACTAAGGATATAAATATAATATATAAACAAGGCTTTGTGTGTGTACAAAAACTGATGCCACGCATGGCAGTCAAAAGGTACCTATTTTATTTTTATTAATGTACTATATTTTAGTTCGATAATGTTTTTTTATTTAATATTTTGTATTTTTAGGGGATTTTATGGTAGTAAATTATTTTTAATTAATAGTTATGATCCATTTATTACCTGTTAATCACTTTTTTGAGCATAGACCTGAAAATGAAATTTCCAACAAACTGTCGTAAATCTTGAATGCTTTGGAGCACACCCAGACAGCAACATAAGTTTCGGCCCAGATCCAGGACACATCTGGTACATGTGGATTCCGCGCCTGGAAGGATTTGGCCCGGATCTGGGCAGACACTATGTTGATGTCTCGGCAGACTTAAGTTTGCTATCTTTTTAAAGAAAATACTGAATTGCTGAAGTGAAAAGAGTTTAAAAAAAATTACACTTAAAAAAGTTATAGAATAAGCACATCACCTTTGTCAAGGCCGGGGAGCAGCCACATTCACAGTCCAAGCCGGCAGCTGGGCTGTTCACCTCGGCTTCGGATTTGGAGCTAAAAGTCGATCTGGGGAGGTAGCTCAAGTTCACATCGTGGTAACTGGATTGAGGTCAGACGTGGTGCTAACATCAGCCACTTCAAAGCAGGTTCTTTTGGTAGAGCTCACCACATCGAAGAGGCGAATGAACAGAAGTCCAAGTATCAGGAGTGAGGAGTGCAGAAGTTGGGTGTAGGCCTAGAGGCGTTGCTGGTCAGTCACTGTATAAGGTCTACTCTACACGCTGCTTGGCATTACTGGGGCTGCAAAGAGGAAAGCCATCAAGTCCGCTATGGAGGCTGCAGAAAGGCTGTGGCTTAAGAGGTCTGATCAACCCTGGGTGAGGGCGTATGATGTTGAAAGACCAGAAACGCCCAATGACCTCAGGAACATCACTGAAAATATGTCCCAGTGCATCCTAGGATGTATCTTTGATATAGACGTTTAAGGTTATGAAATGTTTGCATAAATGTTATGCATAAATACTGAAATATTATATGAAATAGGCCTATATATTTTCCAAAACATGTTTTATTCTTAAACTGTGAGAAAACCATAGCCATAAATCTAAACAAGTTGTGTTTCAAATTTTGAGTTAAAAAAACTCAGTATTTGTTTCGGCGCAGTACCAAACATTTCCACTAGATAAAATACCATTCGTTTCCAATGCGGTCATCTTTGACCACGATCAGTAGCCTACAAGTGTGACTCTTTTTTTTTCAGTACAATTTAATCTTTTCCCGTCGTAAATTTTCGGTCAAGAATGACCGAACAGCACCAGAGGGTTAATTATCATATATTACATATTATATATTAAATGCCTGCTGTTGTTACCCCATTTAAAAGTCAGCACGTATGTGTTATTTGCATCCCATCCTTATTGTTTGAAATTTGCTATTTTGTAATTTGCAACCCATCCTTATTGTTTACTGTCTATCTGGGTTTTTACCCACATGTTTACACAGAAGCAGCGTTCTTGTCAAGTTCCACGGGCTTCTTTTTGTCTAACGGGTGTCGCTGACAGTGCCATCACGGTGATTGGTCAACTGCCACGTCAATCAAAATGCCCAGCACGCGATTGGCATAAATGGGTCTTTTCGCTCCACCTTCACTCCGCGTTCGGAACACTTCCGCTAGGCCACCATGCCCTGCGGAAGTTGAATTGTTACAGTTAGACACTGTGGAAACACTGGAGTGGTCGCGCGAAGGTGGCGAATTAAGAGTCGTAAACACACTGTAGGCACCTACGACTGGGCGGAGAGAGGGTTAACTAGTTCATAAGCCCCACAGTCCCACGTAAACAGTGAAAGAAGGGTTTTAAACAGCGCCCTAAACCCCCGTAAGGTCCCGTGTGTGTGGGCGCAGCGAGGCGGGAGGAGATGGAGCCCTCGCCGGCTAAGGGTAAAGCACAGGGTCGCCTTCTGGTGTCCACCAGCCTGGACGCCAAAGATGAGCTGGAGGAGGTAGGGATCGACTCATTCCCTTTGGCCGTTACCTTCGTCCTGCACAACACACATTTGTGAAGAAAAACATGGTGAAAACTAAGTACAATAACAAAAGGACAAGCAGAATTGAGAAGTTGACACTATCAGACTTGTAGGATCACTCAGAACAGGGTTGATAGTTGCAGGGATGGCTTTTGTCCTCTTTTATCTTATTTGAAGATTAAAATGCAAAGGAAGGAGTTGCTGCAGCAGTGTAAACATGATCTGTGATGAACACAATGATGTTACTATGTCATATATGTACTGAATGACAGCTGATGGTGTCAGTGACTCCTTCTGCTGGGAAAGGTTTTAAACAGTGATGCAGTCATGTACTTCAATTGAGATTAGACTATTTATTTATGAAGATTTGGGGGATGGATGGATAGATAGATAGATAGATAGATAGATAGATAGATAGATAGATAGATAGATAGATAGATAGATAGATAGATAGATAGATATCTAGATAGATAGATAGATAGATAGATAGATAGATAGATCTATTATAGGCTACATTGCTATTTAGTAGCATTTCAGCAATATTTAATGGTAAAATAAGTATGAAACAGAAATGTATACAAAAACACCAATTACATATATTTATGAAAAATATAAGTGTCAAAAAATAGCTTTTTAGTAAGCAGTGATATATTATGGAATTTGGTTGTATTTTAATACAATAATCATTATTGTCAATTACAAAAATATAAATGTAAAATAGTACTCAATTATAATTATATGCATTATTATTAATTAAATTAGTGTAATTGTAAAAGTACGATTATTGTTGTTGCTTTTGTAATTATTACATTGATTATAACATTTAATATATAAAAAAATGTCTTCAAATAATATTGCTTGTTCCCCCATACGATTAAATGTATGCTTTATTAACTACAGTATTGTTTAGTTTTTGACGTTCATGCATGCATCCGTGTGTGTGTGTGTGTGTGTGTGTGTGTGTGTGTGTGTGTGTGTGTGTGTGTGTGTGTGTGTGTGTGTGTGTGTTCAGCGCCTGGAGAGGTGTGTGAGCATCACCACGTCTATAACCAATGGGCTGTCAGAGCGGGAAGCCAATGATGCCATCACTGCTCATGTGAGTGTTTATTAGTCACACATCCACCTAAAATAACACACATCAGGATTCCCACATCATAAAAACCTTGACATATAATGGAATTTTAAAGTTGTGACTGCGAGTTTTCAGGACATAGTAGAAATTAGTAAAATACAAAAATGAGACTTCTGTAAAATTTATATATATTCGAGCAGAGCAAAATGTTCTTTTTGAATACTTATGTTGGGAACCATATGTCCACATAACTTTAATATATCTGTTGACACTTATTGAAGTCATTTGTATACTGGGGGGCCGTTAACACAAAACGTGTTTTTCATTCCGCTGCTTGTCCATTATTTTTCAATGTAAACACACGCTAGACGGATGTTTTTTACCACTGCGCTCGCTTCTCACATCTTTTGCAGCTTCTCGCGCATGACACGGCATTCTGAAAACGTGGCACTCATGATAAAACGCGTCTCTACACCTTGCACTTTTTGCGTTCTACTGACCTGCGTCTCAGGTTTTTAACAGCAAAAAAGCGTTCTGTGTGAACAGCCCTAAGGATGGTAATTTAAATATAAGACGTGACAGAGAAATAAGCACCTAAAAATCATTAGTTAACTGTAAATTAATAAATATTCATTGGTCCAAAAGTGTCTCTGAAATCGCTTACTTTTTGATTAGGTACTTCATTTGAATTTACTTCGCGTTCGCGACCATTAAAAAGTATGTTCTGTATAATATGAACGTAGGTAGTATGAATGAAAATTAGCCGCCATGTCTAAATACCATGTCGTTACAGTCACGTGACCTATCAGTGTTAGTTGCGTCGCTTCACTGCCATTTATAAATCCTCTTCCGTGGCCTCATGGCAAAGTGTCCATCAAATGTACACTTAAGAATCTAGGTGGAAGTAGTAGGTCATCCGGGTACTTTTCGCCTACTGTTTTTTTTTTTTTTTATACTGTGTATTTGGACATACTACTCTGTTGATGTACTGTTTTTCACTTACTATATAGTAGGGAAGTATTTGATTTCGGACGCAGCACCTGTGTTATCCTACACATGCAGATCATGTGAGTTAGAAATGAGGCCTTAACTTATTTCTTTGTTATTCATAATGTGGATTTCCAGCAAATCCTGTTATATTTCAAGAAATGCCAGTTTATTTAAGCAATTGACCCTTCGCTAAGCCACGCCCGAAAACCGCCACTGGCCAATCGTGGCTTAGCAACCGTAACTAGGCGCGGGAGGTCTGTCAAGCTTTCGAGCGAGGCAAACATGCCGACGCGTTGTGCGTATGGATTGTGCAAATCTGATACCCGGTATTCTAAAAGTTTGGACGGTGGGGTGGCATTTTTTCTCTTCCCGAAACCTAAAAGCCAAAGGGGAGAAATCCCGGGCGTGGATCAAGCAGTGTGGAGACCCATTCACAACTAAATGTCGACAGGATTAACAAAAAAAAAAAAAACGCCTATTGCTTGGAAATAATGGCGGTTCTTTGTTCATAATGCATATATTTGAACGTAAAACAAGACAGAGGCTCACTGACATACTTTAAAATATGTTTCAGCATTGTGTTAATCGACGGTGGACGGCCTACTAACGTTAACTTTACCCCTGTAACCCTGCTACCCCAATCCGATCGCGGCTCTCCCGGTGTTAGATTGATGGATAAGCTGTTTGATTTAAATTGATTTGATATTAGATTATTTTCACATTTCACTTACTCTGCTGTGCATGAACATAGCTGTTCAATTTGTGTGTTTCCCATTTGAATGGTCTGCTAAGGAGGCGGCTGCTGCTTGCGCTGGGACCTAACGTTATAGGCTTTAGCTTCAATTTTGATGAAATTATTCTCTAATCGGTTGCATATTATGTCGTGGATATATCCCTCGAATGCATACTGCTGTCCCTTTTGTCTTGCTCTCTCAGATATTTCACTTGTTCGCCAAAAATGACTAAATATCTCCTTGGGAATGTCTGACACCGGTGCATTCACACTGTAATAGACGTGGCAGCCGCGAAAGCTTGACAGGCGTAGCAACAGTAACTAAGGAGGGCGGGGCTTAGCGAAGGGTCAATTAGGTACTGTGCTATATTTGGAATATAGTCATGACAAAAGGGTTTTATTACAGCGCGTTCAGTGGAGGTCACTGTCCTTCGGATGAGACGTTAAACCGAGGTCCTGACTCTCTGTGGTCATTAAAAATCCCAGGATGTCTTTCGAAAGAGTAGGGGTGTAACCCCGGCATCCTGGCCAAATTTGCCCAGTGGCCTCTGTCCATCATGGCCTCCTAATAATCCCCATATATATATATACACTGATTGGCTTCATCACTCTGTCTCCTCTCCACCAGTAAGCTGGTGTGTGGTGGGCGTTCTGGCGCAATATGGCTGCCGTCGCATCATCCAAGTGGATGCTGCACATTGGTGGTGGTTGAGGAGATTCCCCCTTCCATGTGAAGCGCTTTGAGTGCCTAGAAAAGCGCTATATAAATGTAATGAATTATTATTATTATTATTATTATTATTATTATATTCACAATACAACATTAGTGTCTTATTGATTTTATAAAACCGTTACTACAAAAATATATATAAAGGTTTTTTTTTATTAAAACGTATTAAATGTAAAAAAAAGATATATTTAATTACTAATTTTAAAAAGTAATTAGTAAACTAATTTTAAAATGTAATTTAAGCTTAATTTTCAGAATCATTACTCCAGTCTTCAGTGTAACATGATCCTTTAGAAATCATAATGCTGATTTGGTTTTCAAGAAACCTTTATTATTATTATTACTATAATCAAGGTTGAAAATAGTTAATGTAATATTTTGTGGAAACCGTGATGCATTTTATTTCCAGATTCTTCGATGAATAGAAGAATAAAAGACAGCATTTATTTGAAATATAAATATTTTGTAAGATTATAAATGTCTTTACTGTCACTTTCGAAACATAATAAATGCATCCTTGCTGCATAAAAGTGTTCATTTCTCTCAAAACACAATCTGCCGCAGTAGTGCATGTCATAGCTGTTGTTATGATGACTGTGTGTGGAATGGAATACTAGGCTAACTTACTATACTACACACTGAATACTGCATACAGTTGTTTAAAAATAGTAATAGAAACCATCAGCATTATGTAATCACAAATGTTTCCATCAGTGGGGTGCTGCATTACTTTTACCCACAGGCTTATAAAAGAGAAGAACAGCATGACGTTTAGCGCGCTGGTTAGTGCATGTTGACGTGTTGCTCGTGAAGTACATGAGTTTAAATCTGGCTTGGAACTTGCAATTTCCTGATCCCGGCGTTCGCCTGTCTTCTCTTCAACATTTCTTTTCAATTTGTGACTGACTTGAGATCTGAGATCAATAAAAGTGTCTAAAAGAACTAAAAAAACAAAACGAGTTGAGAATACTGAAAAGAACTTGGCTGTATTTAGAACCATTGTTGATGATGATGTATTCATGAAAGCATTTGATGGGGATGGTGTGTGTGTGTGCAGGTGTGTAAGGGTCCACAGCAGCATGAGGAGGTGTGTCTGGGTCTCTTCGCGCTTCTGCTCACAGAGCCCCCACAAGCACAGAGGGTATGTCGATGCTTCATGAGATCTGATTCACATACATACCACAGAATGCTCTTCTTCTCTAACTGTTCTCCCAGAACATTAACCTAGCATTGTGTCCTGCAGTGCTACAGGGACCTGACGTTAGTGAATCGGGATGGCATGAACGTGGTACTCATGAAAATCAACCAGATCCTCATGGAAAAGTTTCTTAAGCTGCAGGACGTGTGCCGCACGCAGGTGGGCCGTATACACTGGTTGAGAACTTGGGATGACAGGAGCTGTTGTGTTATTTTAGTATTATTTTTATACTATTAGTATTTATTAGAATTACATTTTATATTTTTAGTTTTCATTTACAAGTTTTAGTAATTTTGTTATGTGCTGTCATTTTTATCATTTTTGTTTAAATATTGCTATAAATTGCTTCAATAATTTTAGTACTTCAACTTAAACATTTCAGTTTTTCAATATATATGTATACAGTTATTTATAGTTCTATTGTGTTAACAGCACTTTTGACATCTCTTCTTTTTGTGTGGGCAGCTGGTGTGGTTGGTCAGAGAGCTGGTGAAGAGCGGAGTCATTGGAGCAGATGGGGTTCTCATGACGCTCATGAAACAGATCGCTGGTGTGTTCATACACGCATGCAAGTCATTCTACATATTTACTAGGTACCCCCTATACTGTTTGTCTAACCTACGTCAATCTGCAGGGGGAGACATCTCCAACAAAAACCTGTGGTTGGCAGAGAACGTGTTGGAGATCTTAGTGGACCAGAGGTGAGAGGTTCTGAGTCAAACAGCATGGATGTGACTGTTGCTCTGTGGGCGGTAACTACGTCCATGCAAATGAACCAGAGTTTATTGTCAGTTTCATGAATGTGTTTGTGTGATGGACAGAGAGTGGGTGCTGAAGAGTGGGATGTTAGTGGCCATGTCTGTGTACACATACCTGAGGCTCATAGTGGACCATGGGACGCCAAACCTGCTGTCCCTCAGACAGAGAGAGGTGGACTTCTGCATCGGACTGCTTAGAGAGAGGGTGAGTACAGGAAAGGCTTCAAATCTGACCAACAGAAGATTTGATGTGTCACGACGTGACCTCTTAGCTGAATTAAAAGAATAAAAACTTTTTGCAGTAAAGTGTATATTTGAGTAGATTGTATATTTTGGATTTATTATTATTTATGTTGAATTTGCCTTTGTTTTTTAAATATGCCACAATGTGTGACAAGATATCACGTATGTTGCAGTGTCCGTAGAAATTTCACATGCTCAAAGTCTCGTGTGACTGTGGCTTTAACCCTCATCCTTCCCTCACATCCTGGAACAAATCCTTCCCTTGTGGGTCAAAATATTTTTATTTCATTTTGATAATATTTTTTCTATTTAATGCAATTTTTTGGGAGATTTATTCCATTAAATAGAAAAAAGAAATAATAAATAAATAGTCATTTAGTAATTTAAGCACATTCCTCACATTCTTTCAACTTAAATTACAAATAACACACAATTTCAAGCATAAACCTTTTAATTCAACTCAAAATATCATACATTGGGTGTCTTTGCCGACCTCTTGTGGGGAAAAAAAATATATAACATGATATTTCATGACTCTAGCCACTAGATGGACTTATAGCTCTATTTGGAGCAAATGAGTTGTTTCCGCTGTGTCCTAAAGTAATTTCTCTACAGTATACATTTAGATACACATGGTAGACATTATAAAATAATTTTTTGGTAAAGGTTTAGCATTTTTAGTTAGAATTTTGAGCACTTTTAGGTTTTTCTATGTGTACTGAAGCATTCCTCGCATTCCATTCATTCCTATGGGGGTCAATTTGACCCGTGTGGGAAGGATTTGTTACTTTTTTAAATTTCAACCACAAAACTCCTCGAATCCATTCAATTTTTTTGTGTATTCATGGTTCAAGTGCGACCCCTCTGATGAACACTCAATTTAAAAAACTTTTTTTTTTTTTAATGTCCGGGTTAAAATTACCCGAGGGAAGGATGAGGGTTAAATGTAATGTATTCCTGTGATGGCAAAGGTGAATTTTCAGCAGCCATTACTCCAGTCTTCAGTGTCACACAATCCTTCAGAAATGCTGGATGCTGATCTTTTTTTTTTTTTATCCTTTTTATCCTTATCTTTTTTTATATTCCAAACTTTTCATGAGTAGTTTACATTGAGCACAAGGTGAAAATATTTTTGGGGATGTTTTTTTTTTGTGTGTGTCTGTGTTAATGAGTTAAACTGGATAATGAAGAAAAACCGGCCAGCATTTGTTTTCTAGGATGCACCTCATGAAATTGATTTTTGAGCCCACATACTCTGACACATTGATCCATGATGCAAAACTTTAAATCTGGATGGCAACATTTTTAACTGCATTTTCTGTATAAAAGACCAGAAACGCATTGAAAGGTAAATCGTTTTTATTCAGTGCGTCTTGCTGTAGACTAATTTCAAGGACACTCCCCCTGAAGCCGGCTGAGGTGAAGGGGCTCGTTCAAGGGCACTAAAGCAGGATTGTGATGTCTGTATCTGGGTCAAGAACACTTGGGATTTAACTTGTGACTTGGGCCTGAACCAGCTGTGATTAAAGTAGGCTGCCAGCAATTATTCAACAGATTTAAAAACCGCATGAAATCAAAATTGACTGTACGTACCTTATGTAAATGTTCCTGGTCTTACTGTCCAGTCAGGCTTCAACTAAGTTATTTTGATAATCAAAATATTGGAGGCTCAAATAACATTCGTGTATAAATGTAGGCTATCCTATACATCAGGATTTTTTTGTGTCAGCCAAACCCGTTTGACTTAATATATTTACTTAAAAAATATCCCTGAGATTGTTAATATTTCAATAATTTAACAACACATTTGCATGTGTACTATTCTCTGTTCTTTTAATGGTCACATGACATGGAGGTGAACAAATAAAATATTTGTCTATAATATACAGATATAATATAAGATTTTTTTATGAAGGAAGTTTCTTATTCTCAATAAGGCTGGATTTATTTGATCAATATTATAGTAAAAACAGTAATTGTGTGAAATATTATTACGATTTAAAATAACTTTTGTATTTTAATATTTTTTTTTAAATATATTCAAAAGTATATTATTCAATATATATTCAAAACACTTTTTTTTTTTTAAAAGGCAAAGCTGAATTCTCAGGTAGCCATTTTCTCACATGCCGCATGATCATTCCGAAATCATTCTAAAATGTGGAATTGCTGCTCAAGAAACTTTTTTATAATCAATGTTAAAAACGGTTGCGCTGCTTAATATTTTTGTGAAAACTGTGATACTTGATTTTCAGTATTCTTTGATGAATAGAAAGTTCAAAAGAACAGCATTTTTTTTTTTTTATAAATATTTTGTAACATAATAAATGTCTTTAACTATAATTCAACTTTATCAACCTCTGATACTATACATCATTTCTGGGTAAGTTAATATTAACCGGTATTATCAGTTTTCATCCACTCAAATCCTAATGTATAAAGTCTGCCCTACATTTTTAATTTCACTTGAATGTTACTCATTACAGATGTTTAAATGTTTTTGTTGCTGTTTCATGTGTTGCCATTCAATGGTGATTCGTGTGTTAATGCCATGTGATTGTGTTTTGACAGTTCATGGAGTGTTTTATCATGGGGAGGGATCTCGTCAGACTCTTACAGAATGTGGCTCGTATTCCTGAGATGGATTTGCTGTGGCGAGACCTGCTGCACAATCCTCAGACCCTTAGTCCACAGTTCACAGGTGTGCGTGAGGGAATTTCTACAGTAACACAGTAAAGATTGTGTATGTGTTACTGAAGTGCTCTTGTTGCCTTGTCCCGCTGCAGGTATATTGCAGCTCCTCACCTCTAGAACCTCACGCAAGTTTCTGGCCTGCCGACTCACCCCTGACATGGAGACCAAGCTGCTGTTCATGACCTCAAGGGTAAACACACAAACACTGATACCTGACATGGAAACCACAATTTGTTTGTGATTTGAAAGTCAAACGCTCTTGCTCTCCCTGGCTGCAGGTTCGGTTTGGCCAGCAGAAGCGCTATCAGGACTGGTTTCAGCGGCAGTATCTGTCCACAGCTGAGAGCCAATCACTGCGCTGTGACCTCATTCGTTATATATGTGGTGTGGTTCATCCATCCAATGAAGTGCTGAGCTCTGACATTTTGCCGCGCTGGGCGATTATTGGCTGGCTCCTGACTACCTGCACGGTAAGCAAATACTAAAAACATTTCCTGAAGTTCCCTGTGTGTCCTTATTAAAAAGTCTTAAATTAGGTTTTATCAAATTTAAGGTCATAAAAAGTCTTAAATACCTTAAATGGTATAAGAAGTCTTAATTATCATTTCAAGAGGTCTTAAATTTGGGGATGGAAAAGCAATAATTGTGAAATGGCTTAATATAATGTTTAAAGCTTTTGTAAGCTTTGCATCGTTTCAAAGTAAAAATGCAGCACTGTTGCACATTCTGACTCATGCTTTCAGGGCAGTTCGCCCATCGATGAAAAGCCCATCTTTATGCCAAGTGATTACTTTGATCTACTGTTGATTAATTATAACAATGTTTATCTTATGGTGTTTATAGCATACCTGGAAACTCGTCACCTTTGGAAAGGAGAGTTTCGATGGCATTTTCTTTTTTAACTCAGTAAAATGCCTAATAAAGTAGTGTTTATAAGCACAGTGCTGCTTTTTTAGAGGTAACCGGGTAACTGCTATATTTCTGCTGTTCCATAAGTGGCATCTTCTGTCATTTTTATTCAGCTTGTCCGCCTTTTTTGACCGATGAAAAAGTTCTCATATTTTTTTATGCAGTATAAATTAATATAGATTTAATCATTTATACTTTTGATTCTTCCCTTTTCTTAAAAAAAACGGCTGAAATGTGAGGTTTATAATTTTATAAAACTTTTAGTTTTTGTCAAAAACCTGTATTATTTGAACGTTAAAGTTTAAATTGTGGTTTTTACAGTCAATTTCTCAGTCTCAAAATTTGTTTAAATCATCCAGATACCCTGTCTAAGAGTTTCCTTAGAGGCCATATTAATGCTGAAGTTTCATCTCTCCCCGCAGTCTAATGTTGCTGCATCTAATGCCAAACTGGCCTTGTTCTATGACTGGCTCTTCTTCAACCCTGAGAAAGACAGCATCATGAACATTGGTAAGAGAAGCAGGATAACATTACTGTGTCTTTCAGCTTTGACTTTGTAACGAGACATGTAATAACTACATGCTTTGCCTTAACCCAGTCACTGATGCTCTGTTTTTTTCCTTTGATTCCCCCCCCCTCTCTCTCTCTCTCTCTCTCTCTCTCTCTCTCTCTCTCTCTCTCTCTCTCTCTCTCTCTTTCTCTTTCTCTTTCTCTTTCAGAGCCAGCCATTTTGGTGATGCATCACTCCATGAAGCCACATCCTGCTATTACAGCCACACTTCTGGACTTCATGTGTCGGGTGAGAAACTGTTTCTCAGCTCTTACTGTATCTAAGAGCTTGTTAATTTCTTGCAAATTAAGTGTGAGTAATGGCTTTAAAAATAGAATCACCAGAATTTTACAGAAGTGTCATTTTAAAATACACATTAAAAAACTTCAAATCAAAATGGACAATTTTTTAATAAGTGTATTATGGTTTTTCAGAGTAAATTATGTTCACTCTGAAATAACTATAACACTTTACAAGAAGGCCCTATTAGTTAACATTGGTTAATGCATTAACTAACAATGACAAATACATTTGTTACAGTGTTTATTAATCTTTCTTAACATTAGTTAATAAAAATACAACTATTCTTTGTTAGTTCATGTAAGCTCAGGTCCACTAAATAATTTTAACAGATACAACTTTTGATTTTAAAAATGTATTAGTAAATGTTGAAATTAACATTAACTTGCTTTAAAATGCTTTAGAAATATTACTCATTATTAGTCCATTTTCATTAATGTAGTTAACAAATGAGAACCAAAATAACTTTTTTGCCGATAATATCAAAGGAATCCAGTCACAGTCCAGTAAAAAAAAAGTCCTGTCCTGCATTATTTTCCACTGAATATTCTGTTTGACTGTAAAATAAGTAACATAACACAAGGTAAATGTGTTGTGAATGCCAGTTATTGTTGTGTTTTAATTCTTTGGTTTACCCGCTGTCATCTTCTTCAGATCATCCCAAACTTTTTTCCTCCTCTTGAAGTTCAAGTGCGGCAGGGTGTCTTCAACTCTCTCAACTTCATCATGGAGAAGAGAGTTCTGGCGTTAGTTTCTCACACACACACACACACACACACACAATCAATACCATGTGCTCATACAGACACTTCATCAAGAATGCCAACCCATGTGACCCTGCTAGTTTCAAGATGCTTTGTTATATAATGATCCTGACTGTCTCTCTCCCTTTCGCAGTCATCTAGCACCTCTGTTTGACAACCCCAAACTGGACCGTGAGCTACGGTCTATGCTGAGAGAACGCTTCCCAGAGTTCTGCAGTTCCCCGTCACCGCCCACAGAAGGTCAGAGCTACACACCACTGTTTCATCTAAGTCATGTCAATAAATAAAAGCTCCTACCCAATTCAGTCCACCAGAAATGTTATACAAAAAGGCATTTTGGCTTTCTTTCTTTTTTTTAGCATACTATGATTTGAAAAGCACTAATCTTGCATAATAGTCATCCTTACAAAGTAATAGCATTAGTATGAGATTAGGATTAATATTTGCCTATTAACATCCTATACAAGGAGGAGGGATTTGTGACCATTTTGTGTAGTTGAAGATAAATGTCAGTGAATTTAAGGCTGAGGTTGTGGTCACATTTATTAAATTATTTAACCTAACAGTTGATCATAAATTAATAAAAAATGTAAAAAAAAAAAATAGCCTACATGCAATCCTGCATCCTGTCTGACTCAAATGCCGCTCATTGTCTCATATTATTTATATTATATTATTTTATTTTTATTTATTTTATTATATTATTTTAAATTGAATGAAATAGAAACCATATATATGGTTTCTATTTTATTCTATTTTCTTCCCAATTAAGTATTTTAGAGCTTGACATAACTAGAAATATTTATATTTATTATAAAAATGTTGTTGACTTTTTAATATTGTATTAATTTCCTGGTTTTGGTTCCTAAATAAAAATGAAAAATAAGAAATACGTCAGCTTACACCTTTTTTCGCTGTTTTTTTAAGGCTGGTTTTGTCTCATTTTAAATAATTTTAAGTCATCTTGTGGCCCTTGAAACTGTGCTAAGGCCATCTAATGTGCCCTGGACCCCTAGTTGAGAACCATTAGTCTACAATCTCAAAAGTCAGTGGAATGAAATTCTGCTTGAGGAGTCGTATGTTTTAATGTTGAACATTTTTTTTTATCTGTTATGTAGTGAAAATGGAGGAATCTGTTCCCTTGGAGATGGACAATCATGTGCTTGATAAAGAGGATGGTTGCTATGACACCACAGATGCTACCTTCAGTGATGATGAGGAAGAGTTGAACAACAAGGGTAAGATGCTTTTAGTAGCGGCAGATCCACTTTAACTCAGGCCTTTAGATCAACCTATTAAGAGTAAGATGCTCTGCTTCACAAAGTTTTAGTTGGAGTGGAGCTTATGTGCTATCTAATCTAGATCAGCGGCTCTGGCTCAAAATGATGCCCATGACCCAATTTTGTATTTTCAGTTCATATCAGTGGCATCATGATATTCACCCTTGTTTATCCCAAGGTAAAAAACGAGAGTTCAAGTTCCAACAGCTCAAGGAAACCTACATCGAAGAACCTGCTGACATCACACCTTTCGTGGACCAATTGGACGAGGCGCTTAAAGAGAGGGTTCTCCAGCTGCAGAAAGGGAGGTGAGACACTTGATTAATAACCTGTATCATGGATATATTAAGATCTCAATTGCATAAGTCTCATTTGTGCGGCTCTTTCTCTCTCAGTGACACAGAAACACACTGCGAGGTCATGCAGGAAATTGTGGATCTTATTTTAGAGGTGAGCTTTGCTCAGGGTGAATATTTTGAGCTGAGCTTCAAACACAGCTGGCTTTTTACACACACTTTTTTTTTCATTTGTCCTCTTTCAGGAGGATTTTGACTCCGAGCAGATGTCCACTCTAGCTTCCTGTCTGGCTGAACTGTTTAAGAGTCACTTTAGAGGAGATGTGTTACCGGAGGAGATCACAGAAGAGTATGTTTTTCTCTTTCTACCTGACTTCCTGCCAAGTCGATTAGCACACTATCTAGTGGTTAGCACTTTGAGCCGTGATCCTCATCTGGGACATGTGTCTTCCAGCCTGAGTTGTATCCTTATCCCGTTCCCCCTGTTTTCTTCCCATTATGCCCTGTTACTTTTGTTTATTTTTCTTAATGAAGAGGCTAATATGTTGCTGTGTGTGCTAATAGGTCGCTGGAGGATTCCGTGTGTAAGCCGGTGTGTCTGATCTTCAGGAACTTGTGTCAGATGCAGGAAGACAACAGTGGCTTCTCTGTTCTGCTGGACCTGCTCGCTGAGCTCTACCAGAAACAGCCGAAAATCGGTTATCATCTTCTCTACTACCTCAAAGCCAGGTACAGTCAAATTTTCTTTAGTCCCAAAAATATCAAAAGCAAGCACATGACAAAGTCATAAACACAGAAGGCTCTTCTCAACTCCTGTCCTAGCTCTTTCAGTTTCACTTTTTGAATGACAGACTACTGTCACCTGCTGGTATGGAGAGTTATTTTCTCTCATGCAGATCCAGAACATAAATGCTAGTTGGCCATTGGCTGTTGTCTTTGTGACATGTTCAAGTGAAACTTTTTGACCCAGACACAAGATAAGTGAGGCGACATCACAGTTGAATTTCGTTGTCACTAATTCTTTGATGAATCCCACTTCACATAGCTCTATATTAAACATGGACATATAAATAGTTAACGCTGGAGATTTGTTGTGCCTGATTTGGAAATTATGCTATTTAGGAATGTTTTTTTCTCCTTTTTGTTCTGCTCTCTGAAATAGAGCTGTACAATATGGGGGGGGAAAATCTCATAGCTTCCATTATAATTATTATCAAACAAAACTAAGAAATATTATAGTTCACTGCAAGGAAAATTGCTGCATCTTTAAGAAAAATAATATAATTATAATTATAATATTAAATTAGTTGGTAAAATTGCAATACTAATATTTATGTATGTGATTTATTTATTGTCTCATTTTCAAACGTTAAACCTTAACTTTCATTTTGACTGAAACCCCATATCATGAATTTGGTTTTATTTGGATTAATTGTGCATCCCTACTTTTGAAATCTTAGTGTTTTTATAGTAGACTGTCATTTGAATGTACGTCTTTGCAGCAAAGCAGCAGCGGGGAAGATGAGTCTGTACGAATCGTTTGCTCAGGCCACGGCTCTGGGTGACCTGCACACCTGCTTGATGATGGACATGAAGGCCTGTCAGGAGGATGACGTGAGGCTACTGTGCTATCTAACCCCCTCCATCTATTCAGAGGTAATGCACGTGCACGCATAGACGTCATACTCCAACACCATGTGCCTGCAACTGAGTGTTTCACACCCTTTTCTTACTTTTTTGTGTTGTACAGTTCCCAGATGAAACCCTGCGTAGTGGAGAGCTCCTCAACATGATCGTAGCTGTCATTGATTCAGCACAGGTTTCAAATTTACACCTTTAAAGGGATAGTTCACCCAAAAATGAAAATGATGTCATCATTTACTCATTCTCATGTCATTCCAAACCCAGAAGACCGACAAACATTCTCGAAACACAAATAAAGATATATTTTTAATGAAACCTGAGACATTTATGTCCCTCAATTGAAAGTCCATTACATTAAAGTTTTGATGCTTCAGAGAGTTCATATCGAGATCATAAAAGTAAGCCATGTGAATAGAGCAATTTAATCCAAGTCTTCTGATGAGACACAATCGCTTTATATGATAAACAAATTTAATTTAGGCTTTTATTCACATATAAACAATGATAAACGCATTCATAGAGCACATCAAATATGGTCAACTGAAGCTCAGCTGTACTTGCTTGACGCACGAGAACCGATTAAGGTTTGTACAGTGTGACTGATGACAAAATTTCCATTTTTGGGTGGACGATCCCTTGGATACTGATTACATTCAAATTAATTTGTTTTCCAAATATCTATTAACCTCTTCCTCTTGTTTTCACAGCTTCAGGAGCTGATGTGTCACGTGATGATGGGTAATCTGGTCATGTTCCGTAAAGACTCGGTCCTCAACATCCTCAGTAAGTTTAAGGCAGTTTTCAAACTCTGATGGTTCTCCATCTGAACCCACAAGTTTCTGTTCAAATTGTATTATTACACCAAACAAACCGAACGCCAGGGTCTGAAATTAATGGGGGCTTGGGGCAAAAATGCCAACAAAATGAACAAAAATTCCCTTCAAGTTCAAGATACAGGGACAAAAGAAAAATGTCCCTGCTTAATTAAACTGAATCTATTATAGCTGTCACGATGAAAGTGAAAAATTGTGGCATTACATTTAGATCTTCTCACAATGTATCAGCTTTCTTTTACATGTTTTTTGCAGTTTGCAATTATAACAAATTACATGTTTCTGTTGATCTTATGTATGCCAATGGCCAATCAAAGGCGTTTAGATTAGTGAGTTTTTTTTTTTCAGTGTGCACGCTCTCTGATTAAAGTGCAGACGTAATAAGTACAAGATTCATTTTGCACGGTAGACAGCTTAAAGGGATACTCCACAAAATGAGTGCAGCAGGCGTAATGATATGACGCAGCGCCTGAAAATAAGGCTACCTTCCGTCAACACAACGGAACTATTTTCAGGCGCTGCGTCATATCATTACGCCTGCTGCTCTCATGGTACGGCAGTAAAGTTTCTTGATTATTACGCAGGAATGAGAGTATAGTTCCTAGCCATATCAGCCTAGAAAATCGCAACTTTACATTTTCCGTCGGTCTTAGTGCACGATGTAACTACAGAAGAGTCAAGTTTTAAATAGGAAAAATATCGAAACTCTTTGGTCATTTTTTTTTTTAGAAATGCTAATGGTCTTGTCCACTTCAATGATGTATGCTAAGCTATGCTAAAAGTGGTACCGCCAGAACCGGAGATCGGCTGAATGGATTCAAAAACGGTAAAACTCAACAGTTTAACTATGGGGGAGTTGTAAAATGAGCCTATTTTCAAAAAAAGTGGAGTATCCCTTTAGGTGATTATAGAAGTATTTTTTTTTAGAGTGCACAACTCACGCTAAACAGAAGTCATGGACCGCTTCAGTGATGCGGAAGTTTCTTTTTTTCGCTTTCTGTATATAATTTATTCCGATGCTATGGAATAATTTAGAGCATTATATGTGAAACATTTGTATATATTGTATTATTACATGTATAATAAAAATAAAAAGTAATTTATTCCCAGTTTGAATAGCCATTTTGTTCTTCATGCTAGTAAAATAACCAATGTAAAGTCTTTATTTTGTAATGCGTAAAAAGTAATAAACTAGTAGTGGCCAAAAGTGTTGTCTGGCCTAGGAGAAATTACATCTTCAACATTTATTTAAATATTATAACAAATTTGTTGAAGATTTTGTAAACCTATTGTGTCGTTGTACTTGGAGTCAATTGTTTTATTTGTGATAACACAATGAAACATGCCAAATTGTGCGGACATAATTTTTAGCCGGGCTGTCATACAAAGAAATTATGAACACATGCAAAAACATAGTAAAATAAAACCTGTAGCTGTAGTTTGCCTTTTTTGCCAAATCATTTTGTCAGATAAATACCTTAACCAAGTTCAGTGTTTTGTTTTTCCTTCATATAAAAAAAAGTAAAATATTTTCCTCATATTTTGATCACATAATCGAACTTGTAGGGTCATAAAAAAACAAATATCCCCTCTGGACATCGCTTTTGGCAACTACTGTATTGTTAGCTTGTTTTGTCCGTGTAGCTAGAACATGGACATCAAACTGACTCTGTGCTAAAACCTTTGGTGTGAAATCTGTGTTTATCTGTGTGAATGTGCCAGACATTTTTCCATGGCTTTGTAAATGTCATTTTCCCCTCTGCATCTGTGTGTTACAGTTCAGTCTCTGGACTGGGAGACATTTGAGCAGTACAGCACATGGCAGCTTTTCCTGGCACACAGTATCCCTCTGGATACCATCACCCCCATTTTACAGCACCTCAAATACAAGGGTAAGCATCACTCTACATAGACACACACTTTCACTTTACACTTACATTTCCCATAATTCTCTTCTCTCTCTACTCGCAGAGCATCCTGAGGCTCTATCCTGCCTGCTGCTGCAGTTACGCAGGGAAAAGTAAGTCTTTTCACACAAGTGGGTACTTATCTTTTCTGCTGTGGGACAGTCATTTTTTTATTCTTTTTTTTTTTTGCTTTGCTGTGCTGAAGGCCGAGTGAGGAGATGGTGAAGATGGTGCTGAGCCGACCCTATCACCAAGAGGATCAGTTCACCACCAGCATCCTGCGGCACTGGGCGGCTAAACACGACGACCTGCTGGGAGAACACATCAAAGCCCTGCTCATCAAGAACAACAACATGCCCCGTAAACGACAGAGGTAATGACATGTTCTTCGGCTAGTTCGAAGCCCTCCTATGACATTGAACCGAAAGATAGATGCTGTGTGGTTAAGGCCCTGGGCTGAGGACACAAAGGTTGCAGGTTCAAGCTCAAGTGGATTGACCACAGGGTCAGTATCCCTGGAGAAACATGAAGTACTTTAAATATTTACAGTATAAAATTAATTAGTGTTGTGGAAATCACAAAGATCTTGCCAGTGGGCAAGTTTTCTGCCCACTCATTGTGTCATGACTTGCAAGTATGATGGCACTAAGAAACAAATATTTTAATAGCATCACTGATTTAAAACTCGGTAGCAAAAATGCCAATATTGCTGGAGTTTGACTTATTATTACATATATTTTAAATAAATTATTAAATATGCTTCCATGTGTTCATGCAAGGAATGATTGTGTGGAAAACACTTTATTTTAAAAATCTACTTAACAGTTTGGGTTGAAATTATGGTTTTCTAATTGGGGGGAAAAGCACTTGTTCAAATTCATATCAAATTATAGAATTTAAAGTTTATATATACACAACTGTTCAAAAGTAACTCAGTGACTGTATGTATTGTTACAATAGATTTCTATTTCAAACAATGCTGTTCTTTTAAACTTTCTATTCTTGAAATAATCCTGGGAAAAAAAATGTTTCCACAAATATTAACCCACAAAACTTATTTTAACTGATGATAATAATAAATTTGTCTTAAGCAGCAAATCTGACCATTAGAATGGTTTCTGAAGGATCATGTGATCCTAAAGACTGGGAAATTCAGCTTTGCCATCTCATTAATAAACATTTTAAAATATATTCAAATAGAAAATAGTAATTTAAAATTGTAATAATGTTTCACAATATTACTGTATTTTTACCAAATGAATGCAGGTCTGTTGAGCATAAAGAGAATCGTTCAAAAGCATAGAAAAAAAATCTTACCAAACCTTTGAAAGGTAGTGTAATTTTTGAATATACACATATTTGAGTTGTGCTTTGTTTTTGTGTAGCTTGAGGAGCTCCAGCAGTAAACTGGCTCAGCTGACCCTGGAACAGATGCTGGAACATTTGGACAGTTTGAGACTCAATCTCAGCAACACCAAGAACAACTGTGAGTTCCCCTCCACAGCCAATACTCTTAACACCACTACATTCTTAGCAGCCTGGTTGTCTATTTTACTGTTCATATTGACTTAAACATTGATATCTGAATTCTTCTTGTTGGTGTATCAGTTTTTTCCCAGACACCCATATTACAGGCCCTGCAGCATGTTCAGGCCAGCTGCGATGAGGCCCACAAAATGAGGTGTGTTTTTGCTTGATAAGGTATTGTATTGTATTGTCCAGTTGTTATTCGACTAAATGTCCATCGCTTCTTTCTTCTGTCAGGTTCAGTGATCTTTTCTCATTGGCTGAAGAATATGAGGATTCCTCCAAACAGCCTAAATCTCGACGCAAAGCCCCTGCGTCATCGCCACGGTCCCGCAAGGGTGCGGCTCCTCAACCCTGCAATGAAGAGGAGAGCGCATCCAGCAGCGCTTCGGTAAATCTACACTCACAAATTGACATCATTATCACAAAGGCCTTCAGACTATAAAACACACCCATATTATTATTATTATTATGTTCTACTCGTCATCTGTTTTCAATGGCTTTTGTTGACTCCCTTCCAGGAGGAAGAGGACTCCAAACCCAAAGCTCCCAAGAGGAAACGGAAAGGCTCATCTGCAGTAGGTTCTGACAGCGACTGAGAGGACAAATCCTCATCCTCATGCCAACCACACCCAGCATAACCACGCCCCCTCTGTGATTGTGTCGTCACTGGAGAATACCTGTCAATCATCGACTCCAGCCAATCGGGGACAGCCTGTCCAAACACTCTCCTACTGTAGAGGCAGAACTCTTTCTCTGGACTCAAATGCAGAGGAGCCTGGGAGACAAGCCTCTATCTCTAACCACTGCACTGCTCGCAGTGCTCGGCTATTTTAAGCCTGAGAGTTTGGTTAAGTGCAAGGATGGGCGCAGTGGGGGCGGCTAAGCCTGGAAAATCTAAACCCAGACTGGCAGATGTACAAACAAGACAGACTGCCTTAACAAAGAGGGTTATTTAATGTTCCGCAATGGCCCATCCATAAAAATTCATGGTAATGTACTTCAAAGAACGATTACCCACTAACCATAGTGAACCCGGACTGTAACATGAAGTACAGGGATCTTAAACTGATTAAAGATTTTACTGCATTTGGAGGTTCATTTTGGAATGGTGGAGAGCAGATAGGGGCCTTCAGGTTCAAGCCTTTTATCTTTTCATATTGAACAGACCTTTCCCATGCCCATCATTAATAAAGATTGACACTCTGTCCTGTTTGGACACTGTGGCTCTGCAGAGTGGAGCCGGAGACTTCTCAGAGGGTCTGTGAGTTTTTATCTCATGTTTGAAATGCACAGAGCTGCAGAAAGCAGGACCGTACAAATGGAGGACTTGACTTGGACTTTTTAAAGAATTCTTTCTACTGACTTATTTTCATAAAAACAGATTGTAACTATGTTAAAGGACTATGATATTAATAAAAAAGGGCGGAAAAAGTTTGGTTTTCTTACCAAAATGTCACGTTTGAAGTTTTGTATTCTTGATTGGATGAAGACAAACGTATTTGCAGTTTTCAATAACATACTATTCCACTACCATTTCTTTAGTTTGCACACTGGATGTACATTATGCTTAACATGCAAATTGTCTGTATACATACAATACCTGAATAATCTGATTTTTTTTAAAGTGTATCATATACAAAAGGGCACACCCTACACTAGAAACTCTATCCCACAATGCATTGTGCGGCTGATTAGGCCTTCCATTTCCAATGTAACGGATGAATCAGAAGTAATATCAGCCAATATTTTTAACCTCTTTCTTTGCTCACTATTTGATCCATCAACTAAGAATTAAATATTTACTTAAAGGTGCATTGTGCACCTTTCTGAGTTTTTGCAGAACTATGCCCCCCTCTGGCGACAAGCGAAACTCCCTTACTGTCTTTGTCTTGCGTGGAGTTTGCGTTGGGGTTTATGAACTACAAGCCGGTCTCTTTGAATCCATCTTCTACTTTTGTCGAAAGTTGACTGAAGTTTTGTCGGTCGAGTTGTCTTCGCTAATACGGAGAATGGCGGCGAATACACAAACCTGCTAGACATAGCCAGGGGAGCGTGAATGCGCATGACGTCACGCCCAGTCTCACGTTCCGGCCCAAATCCCTCTTATTTATTTTACTGTACAGGATTATAGAGGCAATCACAGTGATCAGAGAAGGGCTCATTCAACCCATCAGGCAATTGTTTAAGCATGTATGGGTTAGAAAAACGGGTATTTTTAACATGATATGTTGCGCAATGCACCTTTAAGGTTAGATTAAAAATGCAAATCAATTCAAAGATTATTAATACAAAACATCAAATTCTCTGGAACAAAGAGAAGAAATGCGAACCCGACATTAGGAGATACATGATGCTGAGAGTCCCAGCGGCTCTCAACATTCACGGGCTGATCTGAGATACAGAAGGCCCCGATTCTCGTTGCATTTCTTTATATAGACAAACTTCTTTCACATGGAAACGTACTAACAATGGAAATTTGCATTCAGAGGTTACACCATTTAAGAGCAGAGGACCATTTGCCTGATAGTCACACTTTATTACCTTTTGGTTTACTACTTTGGGAATGAGACATTTGTACCAGTCGCACTGAGACGTTTCAAATGATACTAAACATTGTATAATACTTGATTATTCACATTAAACCATATAGATTCTTGGGTAAGTTTGGGTGATCCCAGCAAGAGTGTAGGATGAGGGGAATAAATGTAGAGTAGGATGAGGGAGGTGAGACCTTCGTCTCGATAGTGCACGAGGGGGAGTTCAAATGTTAATTTGCAGCAAGATCCTTTGTCCACTCAAGGAGTGGTCGTTCCTTAACTAGTTTTTCCAGTCTTACAACCTGAAGAATTTAATGCAAGATATTTAACTGATGTGGAGAGCTGCCCTGATGGAAAGTGCGAGTTTGAGATTCTAACAAACCAGGCTGTGGGTTGTCTGCATGCAAGTGAATACGGTTTGACTACCAAAAGTGACAAATTTGCACAGATTGGAATTAAAAGTATTTTATTAGACATTTAAAATGAGTTTGTCAAAAGCAATAAAACATTTTTTTTAAAAGGCAGTAGCCATACCAATGCTGATTTCAGTTACAACTTTTTTTATAGGTGGTCTCATAGCTGAAGTTTTTGGTTAGGATTCTTCCTTTTTGGAGTAAGACTCCTCAAGACAGTTAATGGTTTGTTCAGAAACAGCTCCAGGCCTTCCCTCTTGGATCTCCGAGGGGAACAGCAGTCATTTGGGCTGTCTTGCAGCTTTCTTGCCGAGCCGTTTCTCTTGTTTGTGGAATTGAACACTGAATTTGAAGACGTGGGTGAAGAAAAAGAATCCACCTGCCTTTTCCTTTCTGCACACCGTCCCTGCTTATGGAATAAAGACTCTCTCCGGCTGACGCTGGGACTGGCAGCCAAGGTCCGAAAGCCGTAAGGTGTGGTGACCTTTCCAACATGTTCCAGAGACATGGCTACACACGTCGAAGGGTCTGAGAGATCCTCTGAGGCAGATTTCTGCAGACGTTTCAGCTTCATCTTGGGGGTAAAACGAAGTTTGGCAGAAACTAATGGTGAACCAGTGGAAAGCCGATGTCTAGGAGACTGTTCTTCTGGACTTTCTGGAGATAGCAGCTTTCGTGTGTCCTCATCTTTTGATTTCTGAAGAGACAGTGATAACTTTGGAGGAATAGTAAATTTTGGGATTCTTCTAGGGGTTAGTGGTAGATTTTGCCTGGAGAATCCTTTGGGTGTCATGATGTTCTGTAGACTAGCTGAATCCACTCCACAAGCAAACATTTCTCAAACTTAAAAGATGAAAAATCTATCTTCTCAGATGCTCCACAGATACTGAGTGTTTACTTCACTTGTAAGAGGTCTTGTATAAAAGTGCTGATGAGTAGCAGGTGAACAGTATCACATTTGATTGGTTCACAGCTGAAATTCCTCTCAAATAGGAAGGGTTTACTGGGGAGTATGATTTTCACAACATTAACAATTACACCTGTTGAAATTATACTCCCCTTACCAGCACAAGTTTATAAGGTCACAGACTCTGTGAAACGCTGTAAAATCCCACAGATCTTTCTAGGGTGAGGGACTCTCCAAGACCGTGATATATTGGTCAGGCTGGTCCTGCCAGTCCAGCAGCTCAATAATCTCTGGAACAACAAATTGTTGTTAGTATGTTTACATATTTTAAATTGAAAACAGTCAATTAACAATTACAGTCACACGCCTGCAGGTTATAGATAGGTGCGTGGGAGGGAAGACCAAAAAAAGTCAAAAATCATAAAAACAAAAGGAAATCAATCAATCAGATTAAAAGTGTGAGGGATTTACTTTTGTTTTTTAAATTGAAAACAGTGAAAAAACACAGCCAATATTGCCTACTTACAATGTTGATGTATTCCATGTTCCCTGGTTTTCTGGCAATTTTCACTCCCACCTTATCAACAAAACAAAAACTACAATCACATATACAACTTGACAGATGCACTAAATAGTGAACATAATATACATTAAGATGACTTAAATGATATAATGAGACAAGACCATTTGCTAGCTAATTATTGTAAGGAAATTATACCTCAAGGCCATCCTCCAAGAGTTCCCCTTCATAGATGGAGCCGAATCCTCGCTTACCAAGCATTCTACCAATTTCATACCGGCTCAGAATGTCTTCTGTTAAAATATTAATAATAATATTTGGCATGAAATGTCAAGCATGGACAGCTGTGAGTTTAATGTTTGAGGATCTAGCAGTAATCTCACCCTTAGTTGTCACAACCACTCTGTGACATGATGGTGGACTTGACTGGACTGTGGTGGACTGGAGTTGGAGGGGTTTGACCCTGCTGATCTGCAGGAGGAACGACTTCAAGACCACTGGATAGAGTTTCCTGAAGACCATGATCCTCTAGACTCTAGAGCACAGGCACTGTACTCTGAATTTTGATCTAAAGCAAGGAATATCAAACAAAAGCATGGCCCCCCATGACCGCAGCGTTTTCGGGAAGACAATGAGGTTCAGCTTCGTCGGAAACCAACGTGCCCCGAAGCGCCATGGATGTTGGGGTTAACAAATCGATTTCCTGAGGGCTCCGCGAAGGAGTGGGTGAAATGTGATCCCTTCTGAGAGGGGGCGCCCTCAGAGGCCAGCGCATGGCTTCGGGGTCTTTTCCCCGAAGCCATCTTAGAAAGAAGAACAGTCCTCAGATCTGTTTTTTCCTATGAAGGCATCGGACGATAGTGCGGCTTCGACCCCCAGGCTCATTGAGGGGGAGCTCGAGCTGCAACACTCTCTTTTTGCTGTTGCCAGTACAAGGAGCCAGGCGCAGATGGCCGGGTCTGCCCCTTGGAGCAATCCCATGGGACCGATGACAGCGAGGGATGAACCTCTGAAATGCTGCTGCCTGTTTCTTTGCATCCTGGAACCTCTTAAAGACGGTGCTCACAGCATCGCCAAAGAGGCCAGGAGGGGACAGCGGGTCATCAAGGAGGAAAGACTTGTCCTTCTCCTTGATGTCCGAGAGGTTCAACCAAAGGTGTCTCTGTAGCCACCATAGCTGATGGAGTGGCCGATGGTGGAATCTTCTTAGTGGCACTGAGAGAAAGATCAGTGGCTCTATGCAGCTCTTTAATAACACTGGGCCTTCGCCCTCGTTTTCAAAATAGACATAGTGTGTAAGCAAGTGCCAGCATGACCTGCTGCCATATACGCCTTGCCCGCCAGCAAGGAAGTCGTCCGAGATGGCTTGCTTTTCCTCTACACTTCCTACTTCTCGGCTGGCCAATCAATATTCCACAGACACAACCTCCATAAGCTCCTCATACTGATATGAGATATGACTGGCGAATCACCAATATCACCAGCATCAATGAGGTCATCTAACTCCTCAGAGCAAGAGCAAGTAGACAATCCCAACATTAAACTATCACTCGTGGTGGAAGAAGCCTCAAAGCGGGCTTCCGCATCCCGAGTTTGAGCTGTGCAAACCCCACAAATGAAACCTCACAGTGCTGGGACACTACTAGACCCAATCTGCGGGGAACGTGAGCCTGGCCGCTCTCTTCTAACAAGGTCAGGCAGGAGCGGAGCTTTCTCAAAAGGTACAAGGGACAGACAACACCAAATAAAAAGCTGTACAAAGCTCCTAGATCAATAATTTTACACAGCTCATGTCATGTTGACTGGAGTTTTTTGTCTACTGACATTTCTTGGAAAGATATTTTTGCAGTGTTTCGTCAGCAGAACAATCTTTAAAAAAAAAAAAAAAACATTAAATAATAGTACGACCCACTGAAGAGATGTATGTCTATCCCTCGCAGCCCGCTTTTATTCTCATTAAAAATCAAAGATGGAGCTGCTGGGAATAAGGTCTATTTCTGTGATTTCATGTTTTTATTTATTTATTTATTTTTATTGATTTTACAAAGAAGAAACAGCACTGCACTGAATACAT